CCGACAGTCAAGGTCAATTAAAGGTCATATCCAACAATAATTTAGCATGTTGATTTTGTCATATGTGCTCCTTTGTGCAATGAATCAAATCTGTAAATAAAAAATAAAATTGTGGCACATTTAACCAACTTCAATAATTTTCACCTTGACCTTGCTATGTCAACCAATAGACTTAAAATATGGCAAATAAAGCAATATTTGTGATAACTCAAAAAGTACTGAAAATATTTTTATGATACTTGAAATATGGATAAATGGCAGTTACGGAGATTACCCATGTCATTTTAAGCTCGACTATACGGAGAATTTGGAATAATTCAAATATGACTACATTCCCTATTGCAGGTGGTTTGTCTAATGGAGTGTGTTGAATAATTCAAATAAGAAATTACGAATGATAAATGAAACTTTCAATGTACATACCTGTACTGTTGTAGTTGAAGAACTTGGGCCGGTGAATGACTGTTGATGTTGAATGCTGTTCATTTGTGAGGGCTGGGATTGTGAAAATGGTGGCTGACCAAAACTGCTTGTTACACCTTGATTAGATAACATTACTCCTGATCCTTGTGTTGACACTGGAAATGCTTGACCCGAGGAAGCCATGCTCCTTTACTACATTAAAAGAAAAACAAACTTAAATCTTGTAAATTAAGATCAACGGTCCATGACATTGGAAAATTATTTTTAGGCAAGAGTAGATCTAGACAAGTTCCCATATTTGGTAATTTTATAAAGTGGGGAAGATAATTGGCTGGATGCACTTAGAGGTCTTCTACTGTCCTATTTGTACACATAAAAGATTAACGTATCAATGAAGAAGTTTGTGATGTATAAGTCAAACAAAATAACGTTTACATTAAAGGGATATTCAGGCAAAATAATGACAAAAATATTAAAATGATCTAATGCACTCAAATCACGTTAGAATGACATTTATTAATGTTTCAGCATGAATTTCTGTTTAAATTATATATATTTTGGGTTTAAAGCGTAAATATATCTATATATTTTGAACAAAATTTAGAAGTCAATAGTATCACCGAATAGTTTGACAATAAGTCAGGTGACTTGAACAAACCCTTGAAGTTACAATAACAGACTGTGTGAATATTGTATGATTGAAAAGGTTTTAGTCATTCATTTGACATGTTTTTTAACGTTTCCAGAGTTCACTGTGGTAACTTTTGTGAACTGCTAGCGCTCTAACCTGACCCACGCGGGTCAAGTTAGGAAACCACCATTTTATTCCTTATATGGAGAAGAGTTTTGTTCCTTTGACTGTCTAATATATTCATTTTGAGGGCATTCACAGAATAATGAATTAAATATTCAAAACTAAGAAATGAAAATTTTGCCAATGTCTCCCTTTAATCGGTCGTGTTAATGATCATGATATAATGGGTTGTTCAAGAACTTCAATAAAAGTTAAATTATTTAATAAATTTTGCATTTTTATTATAATATAGAATAATAATAAAAGTGGAGATTATAGACATGTGAATCCAAGTGTACTATAATCTGGTTCCTGTACTAATATGGTTCCCATTGGTAATAGGACATTTCGGACCATGGACGTTTTGGACCAGACATTTCGGACCAGATTTTGGACACTTGGGACATATGATTTAGGGACATTTTTTGGACCCAGATTTTTGGGACGTTTCAGAACGATGTGTGGACATTTGATATGCGTAGAACTTGGTACACTGTTATTTTGGACATTTCTTCGGACAAATAATTAAATTTTCTATATGTTCTTAATGGCTTATATTATTCGTATAGAACATGAGTGTAACTTTAGAGTATTTATGTGAACATGGGCAAGGATTTACACTCTATCCGATTTATGAATTTATATATTTGCACATAAATGAAGTACATTAAAAAACAAACTATCATAGTGTTATATCGGCCCACGATTTGGGAGACAATTATTTATGATATGATCAACTTACGGAATTATTCGACATCATACTAGTGAAATGTCCAATTCTGTCCAAAAATGATTAACAAGAGCTGTCAGGTAAGGCTACAGTAACGCGCGACTATTTTGAAGTTGCTTGATAGTATAAAATCAAAAATGATTCCTTGATTACAGTTACCTCCTCCTGTTTACGGTTGGGGTCATGACTGGTAAACTAAGTGTCATACAGTTTCAAAGCATATGTCAAGTGTAATCTTGATAAAATTATCTGACTATTATCATAAATCTCTTTTAGTAAGATTTCCTATTAGCTCGATAAAAGGGGCATAACAGTTCTTGTAAAATGCTTGATTAGCAGTTTACCTCTGTCCTGGTTACAGGCTTTCGGGGGTTCATGAATCTTGAACAAGTGTGCAAAGTTTCATTAATGCAATGTTCTGATTGGATTTGAAAATATTTGAACCTATTCATAAACTTTTAACTGTATATATTTTCTAAAGATATCGAAAAGTGGGCATTTTTCTGTTCAAAATGCTTGATAAGAGTTACCTCTCTTGTCGATACAGGTTATGGGACAAGTCATTGTATGTTGTAAACCCATAGTGTGCAATAGTTTTAAAGCCTAATGGTAATGGATTTGTAAACTATTTGAACATTACAAATTTAACGTAAAGATTCTATCAGTGAAAATGGGGCATTATTTATGTAACATGCTATGATGAGTACACAGTATGATATTATTGTCTCCAGTCTAACAGTTGGGGTCATGATGGTTGACAAGTGTGAAAGTTTCAAAGGGCATATGTCCATATGGATTTGAAATATTAGATCTAGTTATCCACTTCATAAGTGGTTAGGCCGAACTCTTAGAGAAGTGATCTTCGGGTGACTGCAATAGCTTCTACCTTATTCTTATTCGAATGTCGAGCTCAAAAATCTAGATCGAAGGTGTCTCTGAGTCGAATGTCCGTATTGTCTTTCCTATTATGTTATCTAATGGTGGATTTCATTTCTTAGTTATATTATGATATTGAAATTGGATGCCCTATGCTCAGTGCAGAACATGAGGATCTAATGGGAACATATTATTTGGGACAGGTAACTAGATTATAGCTGGGTCTATGAAATCATGCAGGAAGCTTTGAACGGGAGTCAGTTAATTTATAAATAATAAGCAATTTTTATTTGTATCATGTTAAGTGTACAAATTATGTGGTCAATATTTTGCAGGTCTATGAAAGTATATCGTACTAAACTTGTATTGCTTCAACTTGCTAATTACAGTTTAGATTCTAAATATTAATATGCAAAATAAAATCCACACCATCAATTAATCCAGTATTTTTTCAAAATCAAACTGAATAGATAAATGTGAATATATTGAAGGCAACTCACTCATAAGTGGATCGAAGTTCGTATCGGCTCTCAGACGCGGACAATGTTACGCTGAGGACATTACATATATTCTGATTAACTATCCAAATTTCACTGATATCTACGAAGGCCACGTTGTTCCGTGGACTGTTATTATAAGTCAGTTATATGCATTAATAAAGTTCAAAAGGAACTAACAGTTCTTATTAGATCCTATCTTAATTCTAATTATGGTGGCATTTACGAATTTTATTAGAATGGTAAGCCTCTCAGTAAGACATGCTTAACTGGAGTGATACGTGGCTGACAGTTTAGCGCGAAGGCTATCAATTAGATCGTATGCTCTAAGTGAAGAAAGAATTTTGATGATATTGTGTTATCGAGTAGGTATCGTGTTAATTTCATTGTTTGATGTAAGGTGTTGGTGGTCACAAAATCTATGTTGTTTTGGCTTATCAGGGTTACAGTAGATGTTTCGACCCTAGTTCAAGGGTTTGCCATTAAGATCATTTATCATTTTTTGAGACTATTGTATATAGTTCTATTACATTCATTAATGTAATATATTTAGCAGTATGTATCTTTGTAATTGCTATCTTCTTATAAATTCAGTATTTTGCAAGGATATGCAAACTTCCAGTCCATCTATGGAGCAATATTTCAAATCCTGAGGTCTCTATTACATAGGTACTGTGGTGGGGCAGGGGACAATATACGCCTGATGGCCTCGGTCAAATTATTCTTTTAATATACTCGGACATGGTGGTTTTGATAGTGTACTGTAACTTCTGAATATTATCTCTGTCATATGTTATTCTTTCTTGTTTGCTGTGTAGATGAGAAGTATTTGGGTTTTTAACCCGAAACTAAGCAAATTTTGGTAGTCTTTATATGTATTTCTGACTCTTCCGAATGAAGGTGAAAAAAGTTCAAAACTCAACGCTTTGACAGTTCTGGCGCAGAACAAGTAAGAAGATATTAGATCATTTGTTGAAAATCTAAACGTATGACAGAACTTTTATACTGGTCTTCTTGATAAAATTTGCCATAGCTTGTCACATGCGTGATTAAATGATTATTTAAAGGAATCTGTGCCGATTGGTAGTATAGCTGCACCTTTCATAGATTGATTGTCTCTATAGGTTATATTTTAGGTATGATTTTGAGCTGGGTGGTGGGTAGAAATATAAATTGCTAGTCAGTCTATTTTTTTTGAGAGAGCTATGTCACTGAAAAATTATTTTTCTTTCAAGTATGTCAGTACCCTGTGATTGAACTAAGTTTATTGTCCATGACCAAAATGCAAAACGCCCTGGTGATTGTTAATATTCAGCAATTCGGACCCGATTTTCAGGTATTATTGTGACAGATATCTTTTTCATCTGCGTCCTACAAAATTATGACTAGCTTAGGACCGCGGCGTTATTATTGGCTTTTATTTTATGTATGTAGTAATTGCGAGGCTTATCTGTGATTTTAGCCGAACAACTTCAACATTTTCTTTTTGTGAGGCAGGCCGATAGGTTTTAATTTTCCTAATATTTTTTGTTTCACTGGAAACTTAATGATATAGATGGAAATTAATAGAAGAAATGTTTTTAAAGTATTTTATCGTACTGTAAACTATTCATATTTTCATTACAAAGGGTTATTAGTTGGATAACCATGTTTTCACTTAGTTGTCGATTTGCAACGTCCTTCTGACTTATTAATATCGGTGCGAATACACTAGGTTGAGTCATCTTGACATTAATATGCAGCTCCCGTTGATTTGTCTTTTGAACGTGCATCTATGATTTTGTTCAATTCTCAGAGTTTCTTCATATATTAAATCAATTTATTGCAAACTTTTCTAATATTCTGGGTCACTAGGCCCTGGCTTTCAGATTTTATGAATCTGCGTCGGAACTCAATCCGTTATGTCTTTACTGCTGGTTACCATAAGCTGTTACACATCAAATATATTACAGATATGTCACCAAATCAGGTGTACTGATTATTGACTGATGCGTTGCTATCCTTGACAGAGCTCAGTAGAGAAGAATAAGGTATTTTTTTCAAATATTTTTACAACCAGCTGGAGGACTGGGTCAATCATATAGATCTAACTAACCCAAGAAAATTAAGAAATTTATGATATGGTGTTGGGTCAATAAATAATTTGAATACTTCACGATATCCTTTATTAATACTTGTAAGCTGAGGTATTTTTATCGATTTGTACATTTAGGTCTTACACGTGGTTGACGGATGCTCTATTGTTATCTTCAGTTTCGTCAGTAGATAGCAACTATTGGTCAACCTCCGTTTGTTA